TTTAGAACTATAGGAAATCCCTGCTCTCATTTGCTGGAAAGTACCGGTTATCCGTAGAAATGAAATTTGTAGCAGAGAACAATTAAAAGAGCCTATTGCTTTAGAAATGTGAGTAATGTAAACCACTTTTTTTTTTTAAGTTATTTTGAATATTAAGCATACTTTATGCTTAATGCACTTCTAGTGCATTTATGCATTAGAAATAACACATGCTTTACCTCTAACAGCATTGTATTTGCTTTTACACAGCTGGATTGGGTAAATTTGTCTTTGCCTCATTTTGAGTCATTTTTAACATCATGATTTTCAAAATTTGTCTGAGTTCATATGTTAAAGAAACTGGACAAAGAAAAAAAAATCAGAGGGATACAAATAAACTGAAAGAAGTAAATGCAAGAAATGAAAAATACCACAAACAAACACACGGAGTCTAATTGTGGCACCCTAAGTAAGTACTCTGATGATCCCTCCTCTTGAGTACGGAACAAGAATCCTCTCTAGCCTGAAGGACTTGAATCTCACCATTCTCAGAGCACTTGTTATACGTACAATGTATGGTTTGTTAAATGGAAACAAACACAGGAAGCTAATTTGTTCTGTAAACACAGGCTGCAAGAGAGAAACTGCCTATTGAAACACTTATAAGATACTTTAGCATTCTCACCCTTCTGAGTGAACGCACACATGCCACTTAAATAGTTCAACGACTCCAACTATCACAAAGTTGTGCTATATCCCGCAAGCGTAACCATAGCAGATGACATAGGAAGTGCTGAAGTTGTCAATAACACACGCAGAGTGAAAATCTTACTCCTTTATACTCATTGGATCTTTTAGGATGCATGCTAACAGCCCCAGCTTGGGCCTCTATTAAATCTAGTTGCAAGGTTTCTCACAAAAAGCCCCCTTAGAAGAAAGGTGTGCAGTAAGTTAATGTGGCAAAAACCCCTCAAAACCCAAGAAAACCCAAAACCCCTCCTCCAAACCCACCTCTCCCCACCCCCCCAAAAAAACCCACACCAACATGCAGACATGGATAGCAGCACACTGCACAGCAGCTTTGGAAGGGCTCAAAAATAGTCAACCTACTGCAGAGTTCATGCCACAAACCAGCCTGGTCTCAGCTTAACATCTTATTGCACATTGGCAGAGCCAGTGATTCTGCCCCATTCCTAGCTCAAAAGAGCAAAGTGAAATTGAGCCCAAAAATCACACTGGAAGTGTTCTGAGCAGCTGGCACGCTCCCTGCTCTCCAAACAGTAAGGTTCATTTGGCTTCTGCTCTTCTTGAAATCACAACAGAAATAAGGCATCCCAGGTCCTCAGAGCTTGGGTATCATCTCCGCCATCTATGAGCCCAAATAAATTTGCGTCTTTGTAGCAGACAGAAGAAGGAAGAGAGCAACATGTGGACAAATAAACCTGAGTGTGTGCTATCACAGGGCAAAACCAGAAAGCACCTCTCAGCCCCCAGGCTGACTTTTGCACTCCTTGGCATTGCCAAGGCACCTATACTTGCTGCGAAGGAGAAAGGGCAACCGAACAATTCAGTAAGGGGTTCATGTTCTACTAGCAATTGGAAGAACATACCTGAATTCTCTGTGACCTACTGGTATTCTGGATTTACCGGCTTCTTGAAGATGGGGCAGAATGGTCTCCCTGCATTTCTCCCTCCATTTCAGGAGGGCAAGAAGACATCACCTGAGTCAGACTGCTTTCTCAGCCTGGCTTTCCCCTGAAACCTTCAAAGGCATTAGCTTCTGTAGAACACCTCAGGAGAGCAGAGATGCAGACACACACTGTCGTAGCTACATACAACCTGGGGAACCGGGTCCCATACAGAGACTTCACTAAATAAAAAACTGAGGAAAAAAAATCAGCAATTTGCACAGTATTCTGTAATAGGGAGTTTAACTGCATCATTTTTTAGGGGAGGCAGAATAATTTTGGGGTGGATGATGCTCCTCTACTGGCAACAGGTTACCAGGTGCAGCTCGACCCACACACTGCAGCACTACACGAGATCTATAAACCTTTACGTGGAAAAACCTCAGGCAACAGCTGCACAGTTCCATTTCAGATGACTGTGTGAGGTAAGAGAGTGGGAAGGGCAACACTGTAGTTAAAGGAATGGTACAATTCAAGGCAATATAAGGCATCCTCTTCAGCAGCTGTATTGCATGTGGGTAAAATTCCTTGTTAGTAAAGGGAAAAGAGATTTGTGAAGGAGCTGTAGGTCTAATTGCCAAAGTGAAGAGACTCAAAACTTCTACAGAAACTGATAGGCATTGTTAATGGGAAGTGTACCTAAAAATTGTTTACACAAAAGCATATTATAATTTCAGTTAAAGAACTAGATAAAATTGGCAACGCTCATTAGTTAAATTTGAACGCAGACTGACTCAATTTGATTTGGCATTACAAGAGATAATGGAAGCAGTAATATTCAATCTACATAAAAATTGCTTCTGGCTAAACTTCTTTTGTTTCCTTTAAAATACATCTAACACCAAAGAGAACAGCTAAATCTAATGATACAGCAGGACTTTATTTTTTATTGCAGTAAACTGCTTAACCTTCTTTTAAATTAAAGAAGTTACTGTCTTGGTTGGCCCCTATTTTGGCAATTTTTCATTTAAATTTTGTCATCCTCTTTCTGCGAATCATATCTATTCTTTGGCTCTTCAGACTTTCTCATCACTGTTTCTCTTCTTCCACCTCAGCTACAAAGACTTACAGCCAACTCCATACATTTGCACATGAACGCAACAATCCTGACTCCATTAACACCACCTTCTATGAAGCACAGCTCCCTCAGTTCCAGCAACAAGTATAATGGTGCTGTGTTGTCATTCTTGCAGAATAATTCAAGAATGCACTATTTATCTCACAGTTCTTCAAGCTTCTGTGCTACTTGCTTCCTAGTCGCTTCAAAATTGAAGTAGTCTATGAACTCCACTCGTTCACAGGTCATTTTCTTCATTAAACCACGATCAGTTTTTCCTATCAGCAGAGTTTCATTAGTGTTGTCACAAAAGACAACTTTCTGCCCTGGTTCCTCACGTGAAACGTTTATCCTATGTCTTTTTACCTAGTTGGGTGTGTACGTTCAGACCAACGTGGTCCTGTGCAGTAAGGACAGCACAGCCTATGCAATCAGGGGCCACTGGCCGAGAGGAGCTTCCCGCTCCTTGAATCTCCACCTATTCAGGGCAGGTACTGATGAGGTCTGCACAAATTAGGCAGTTGAAGCAACTCTGTCCTGAACACTGCAGGACATGTTCCAAGACTTCAGTTTCCCTTTTTTCACTTTTTTCCTCCATCCTCATATTTAATACTGTTGCTTACCCGTGAAAGTATTTTTGATGTAGTTTGTAAAGCAGCATTATGTTTAGATTGAAAATAAAACCACAATAAAAGACAATAAAAGAGGCAGCACTCCCCCCTCCCTTCTACCCTGTAAAAAAAGCACTCAATAACTCAAATTCATTTACAACTTTGGCCAATATTGCCTGGATTACCTTTATTGAATGCTGTACATCTTTAGAATACAAAACATCATGTTTTTTCTATTGAATTTCTTCTCTTTATATTTCTGCCAGCAGTACTTTGATTATACCAACCCGTATTCAATAGCACCTTAGAAATCGTGGAATTTCAAGTTAAAAAAGAGGAAAAACTGGTGATTGTCAAAAACAGAGGAATACTAAGAATGCATATTAAATCTTCACTCAGAGTGAGAATTTCATTATTCGATATCAGTTGAGACACTTGCTAATGTGCTTTTTACAATCAAGTACCTGGAGTGTTCTACTGCAAACTACAAAAACATGAAAACCATGATATTAATGCTTGTGCAGTTGCTTATAGCAGTTGACAGGCAATTTACTAGAACAAGACTTACTAGGTACCTAAGAAAAATTGTTATCTAATTATTCACAAAAGATATGTCAAGTATAATTAGTACAAAAAGTCAAAATTTCAACCTTATATTGAATCTATAAATATATTGTAAAAAAACCCCTGAAAAACAAAAAAACCAAACAGAATATCACATATTACCAGGCAAGAGATCCCTGTGCATAGAATCTCATGTAAACAAAGCTGATGACAATAACATGTCTCCATAGTATAAACTGAATGTAAATTCCAAAAGGAAAAATAACAAAAATTCACACCTTCTTATGTTTTTCAATATATAGCTTTTAAACTATTTCCATTCTCAGCTTAGCTGATTACCATCCTTTGATTGCAAATGTGGCACAATCTCTTCCACTTCAATTGCTACATCCTTTCAGATCTTGCCTTGAGAAAACAAGACTCAAGATGTTCCCCTTAATAAGAATAGCTCATACGTGTTACAACGCACTTTATCTCCACAGCGTTAGAAGCATGAACGTTCTTACCACAAGCAGGAAGCACTGCTGCTGTAAACTGACAGCTACTTGATTTGCTTTGAACGTTAAGCACCAAGACAGCTAGTTTCATTTTTCAAATTAACCTGATGCTCCTGATTCTTTCCATTCTGTACTAAATGAAAATCCTTGCATCACAGTAAAAAAAAAATTTTTTTGTACCTTACACAGTTGTGTTCATGGCTAGAGAGCATTTAGCCATCAGCCTGGCTAGAGAGCATTTAGCCATCAGCCTTAGCAAAAAATATAATTTCGAAGTATTATATCCCTATTATTTCTTTACTGCTATTAATATTAATTTCGACTAATATGAATAAATCTTAATATCATTTCTTTACATAATTGTAAGCAACATACTTAAGATGCAAATCAAGACTTAAGGATTACAACAACGCTTATTAAAAACAAGATTAAATCCTAGTTCATTTGAAAAAACATGCATAAATGTACATAAATATACATGAAAGCATCATGAATTCAACAATGAAATATAATTCACAGCTTAACGAGTGTCAGACAAACATTTAACAGAATTTTGTTTCCAGCTCAAAAAAATGAATTATCTTTGCAGTGTTCAGCACATTAATCACAACTTCTGTAATACATACAGAATGCCAAGATTATCAACAGTCACATACACTTCGAAATTAGGGGACACATGTATCGACTTGAGGTTCGTTCCATTTGTGTAGAAGGTTTGTAAGGATTCTCCAGTAGTTACGTTCCACCACTATAAAAAAATAACAACACACTTTCAATTAGCTGAAAGAAGCTTAGAATAAATTCTATAAACAGGCTTAGCATGGCAAACCCAGTTGACTGCTTTCCCCAAAGAGGTAGAATTAAAAATAAAAATACAAGCAATCTTAAGCAGAAAATGTTTAGGACCAGTTACTAGAGAGGTAAGACTTTCAGATGAAAAGAAACTTCAAAAAGACTGAAGCTGTTCAATTTCAGGAAAGCATACAAAATAATAAATTCAGGTACTGCCCCTTACCCGATCACAAAATGAGATCAGACGTAAACTGTAACACGTCCAAAATGCAAAAAAAATATGTATTTTTATATAACCAAATGAATACATGAAACACATTGCCAGACAATATAATTTAAACTATAGCTGGATTAAAAAAAAAGAGCTGGACTCCTAAGAGGATCAGTGATGTACACAGTTGAAACCATTTGCAGTTTTGTTAGGAGGACAGACTTTTTTCCAGTGAGACTACAATTTTTTTTTTTTTAGAATATACAGTAAGCAGTAATAACAAAGATACAGAGAAACCTTCGACCATCAGTTTAGTCCATGACTGTAGACTGAAATTTCACATTTCTCAGAAAAAACGTAGACCAATGCAAAATTGAACCAAACGCAACCCAGCACAAAGCTGTTACTTGATTGTTTCAATAAGAAGTCTACCCTCTATTCTTGCAACATCCGAGTGCAGTAGCAAAACAGCGAAACAGATTACCTTTAGCTTTGATCACATATAAAAACAGGTGGTATTACTACTTTTTAGCTTACTCATCCCATGAAATATGTATCATCATAATTGTGTGCATAATACAAATGTACAACTACACAGCTATAATGTTCTGATTAAAAACACCTTTCCTAAAGTGTCTGTTATTTAATGGACACCCGGGGAGGGGGGGGAAGGGAGGATCTTAATTAGCTCTTGAACCTTTTTTGGTGGATAAATGATCAGGTGCTGGGCCAGTGAGTACCACTCACACAGCAAGTTCAACAGTACATAGCTGGATGCACCTCATCTATGAATAAGATGACTCATTTGTTTAAAGCTGCCTTCCATGTAACTCTACAATCCAACTCAGTCCAGTTTCTAGAGGTCCAAACTTCTGAAATGTTTTAGACTTTCACTGACTAGTATCTCCCTACGGAAAGGGTGCGTGTGTGTGTGTGCGTTTTCATGCATATCATACACATCCATCTGTAGATCTTGAAAGAAAAGTAGAAATACAACACTTTGAGAAGATGTGGTGATTGAATCTGGTCTCAATGACTGGAAAAAGGCAAATTGCGTACCTATTTTCACAAAGGGCAGAGAATATGCTGGCAACTACAGGCCAGTAATCTTCACTCCAGTGTCTGGGATTATTATGGAACAAGTTTTCTGGAAGCCATTTCAAGTCATGTGAAGGACAAGAAGGTGATCACAAACAACTAGCACAGATTCACCAAAGGTACATCATGCTGAACCCCCCGATTGACTTCTACTGACAATAATGGTGGCTCTGCAAACAGCATGGCAAAAGCAGTGGATGTGATTACCCTTGACTTTAGCCAAGCCTTCAACATGGTCTCCCATAGTGTACCTATAGTCAAACTGGAGAGATAAAGCCTGGATGGGTGGAATACAAGGTAGTTAACAAACTGGGTGGGCCACTGGATTCAAAAAGTAGTAGTCAGCAGTTCAGTCACTGTGTTGAGCCCCACCCTAGTACAAGAAAGACACTGACAAACTGGAGCAAGTCCAGCACATGGTCACTGAGATGGCTGGACACCTAGAACAGACATCATAGAAGACAGACAGAGCACTGAATGTCTTTAGCCTAAAGAGAAGGCTGCTAAGTGCTGTCTTCAGCTACCAAAAAGAGGGTTACAGATGACAGAGTCCGACTGTCCTCTCCGGGCCCAGAGGCACCCCTGTTGGAGTGGGGGACAAAACTTGATGGGGCCAGGCCCTAAGCAACTTCACCTAACTCTGCAAACTGCTTCTAGCAAGGGGCTGGACTAGATGAGTTCCAGAAGTCTGTAATGTCCTAAACCATTCTATGACTCTAAGAAGCATCACAACACCATACTGTGTAACCACAAGACAAAATGGGAATGAAGCTAGAAATAGGATGCATGTCTTGTCTTTAATATGAAATGAACGTCAGAAGATGTTTTCAATGCTAAATTAGAAAATTCAACAGTCTGTTAAATGGTTACTAACTGACTTCAAAGAATTAGTCTGGCAGCATGTCCAACAGCTAAACACTGACCAACAATCAACTAGCCTCCAGCACTCAGGAGATGAGAACTCCACAACCTGTCATTTCACATACACACACAGTTTCTACTAACAGATAGTAGGCGCGGACGGGGGTGAGCGGGGGGGTGGGGGGAAGCAACAAAACAAACAAATAAAAAAAAACCCACAAGATCATGAGAAATTTACAATTATGAAGAACCAATTCACAGACTGAAAGACCGCCTCTTCCCCTTCCCAAAAAACATACGCCCAGTAGATATCTGAACCTATGAAAGACTGATGAAAAGGCTGATTTCTGCAGTTTCAACATGCCCTCTTCCAAAGATTACTTACAGAATGTCTTTCCAGGCAGAAAACTGCCACTTGCAATTCCTTCTGCATTTCTATTTATGAAAAAATTTAAAACTCAGTATCTTTAAAAAAAATAAAAGCCTGACATAGAGCATTTTTCTGCTCATTATAAATAACACAATTGCTGCTGAAATTGTGTGGATATTAAGGAAGACAAAAATTACTGGGATCTTTAATATTAAAGATATTAATTAAGGACATTGCTAATAAAAATCTGAAGCTAATAAAAAATGGAATATATGGAGTTCAAAAACAAACTCCAAGCCTGAAGTCTGAATTCTTAAGAGACCTTTTCAGGGGGCTTTCATATTTGGGAAGAAAAGGAGTGAAAACTGCTAGACAGTCATGAAAACTGAGCAGCTTTGTGTGAAGTAAAACGTTTCAGGTTTGTTTCTTTGAATTAGTCTGCATTTTCCTTTAGAATTATCAGAGTATTGCCATTTAATTAGGTATGTTAAGATATTTTATTATTTCAAGGCTTACCTTAAGATAGCCTCCAGATGACACAAGCATTTCACTGTCAGGAGAAAAGGAGACGTCTGTTACCCAGCCACCATGTGTTGGTTCTTCTTCATCTACTGTAACTGGGGAGCAGAAGTGAAGTAATGCACCTGTTAAAATATCCCAAATCTAAAAGAGAGAGAAGATTATGTATATAAGTAAACTTAATGGGGAAAAAAAAATCTCCAGTAAGGAAAGCTGAAATGTATTTTTCTATATTAGAGGAAAAAAAAGCCTTGTAAATAAGCATTCTACTTGAAGTGACAGAATAATCCAAAAAATTAATTCTCCTCTTAGAACTGTATCATATATGGAGGATTTAATCACACATGCAATTCACAGTAAAATTATTAGTAAATCATGTGAATCAGTTCCTGAGCATTCGTGGAACATAAATCTATCAATATGGTTACAAACTACTGTCTCATGTGGCAAACTTTGCTATTTTCAACTCCCTGATGTTCACCACAATGCTAACGAATCAGACATGCAGAACACAAACTGTGAGAACTCTTCTAACTGTGAACTGACTATCAGTTGAATTATAAAATAAACAGCAAGGTTAAAGCAATACCCTTATTTCTCCTTTGTCATCTCCAGTGGCCAATAACTTGTTATTAGGAGAGAAAGTACAGCACCGCACACAGGCTTCATGACCTTTCAGCTCATGAAGAACAGATGAACTTTCAAAGCTCCATATCTAAATGGAAAACATTACAGAAGAGTGAAAAACAAAAGTTCAAGAACAATGATGACTGCTTTCTAAAAAGGCATTAGTATTCAAAAGTACGAGACTTTTTGTATATATGCATATATGTGTGTGGATTTATGTATGTATTATACTGTAGTCTTTTTACTATCTGAATCACACAAGAATGCATTTGCTACAAATTACTGAACCAACTGTGAGTGTATTTTTTTCTTTGGAATATACTCTGTAATGAAACTGATTCATTTACAATAAAGTTTAAAGCTGCTAATAGAAAAAGGATTCATCAATCAATTTAAAGCTATATTTTAAAAATCTAATGGGGCAGCCCCAGAATATTAAACAGTTCACTTATTTTTGCACCTTGCTTCTGAACAGGATTACCAGAAACTATGGACAGCACTTTCACTGGAAGTTCCAGAAATTTTTCTTAACTTAGGTTTCCAAATTAAGAATGTTAGGCTATTAACAACTCAATACAGAGAACTAAACAAAGTGTTCTGTACAAACTTGTGCATTAAACATGCATTTTATTTGTACAGAAGTCACCAGGACAGCCTCAAGTTATATCCAAGATCAACTGTGAATGACTAATGGCTTTAGAAACATGTTCACAGATACAGGAAATTTAACACGAGAAATACAACAGGATAACTTAAATAATAATTACCTCATAATAAAAAAATATAGCATACATTTCAGCACAAATAAGGTACCATTTTTATATTTGTACAGAAAGTAACCGACCTTTGCAGTTTTGTCAGCAGAGGTAGATGAAAATTTACTACCATCAGGGGAAACAGCACAGGAAAGAACAGCACCTCCATGGCAAGCAAAATCTTTTTCTACGTTTCCAGCAGTGATATTCCAAACCTACCAAATATACAGGAAAAACAGGTTACTTTTGTAACACTGTAAATGGGTTAAAAAACCTGCCTCTTACACAATATAGGAGACAAAACTCAGCTACACGGTTCTAACATGGCCAACATCTTGCTATACTTACTGGCATAGTTAAAATACAAGAAGAATGTAAATCTTAATAGAAATAGAAAATGCAAAATTGTGTCTTAAAAGTCAGCTTATACTTTAGGATCAATCCAATAAAAAGTGAGTCAACATGAAGTGCAAGAAATACCAAATGTTAGAAGGGACAGCAAAATGTATTTTATGCAATTTGTCAGTTCACAGCCTTTTATTTACCTTAACGGTTCCATCAAACGACCAAGAAAGAAGTTTTGAATCTTCCAGAAGTCTAAAATCCTTGATTGCTTCCTTGTGCCCTCTTAGAAATACACATTCGTTCAACTGCCAATTCCATACCTAATCATAAAGATGGAATACTTTTAAAAAAAAAATTTAACGGCAAACATAAGTTAAGAAGAATGAACTAACTGATTTTTAAGTCACAGGAATAATAAAACGTTCTTATGGAGATGACAACTAATTAAAAGGTTAGATACTGAAGATAGCCATAGCAGAGATGCTGAAGATTGAGAATGCCATAGTATTTAATAGTCAACCTATGAGAGAGCTCCTTATAATACACACATAATCTGATCTTCAAAGTGAATTTGATGCTTAAAATTCACTGCTAATTTAAAAAGAAAAAGCAAATCAATAATTTTCTAGGCACCCCAGAAGTTTTGGCTTTTAAACCTTTGATTATTGCAACAAATAGACTTCCGTCATCTGGTAGACCTCATATTTTCCATACTTAAATTAACTAACTGTATTTTATATTTTTAAAGCGTATTTTTAATGAAATGCCATTTTGGTTCACATTTTCATAACAAAATGATAGTTCTATTTTTAATTCAACTATTCACTGAAAACTGAAGAAGTGTCATTTTATGTTACAGAAGCTATTGAGCATCAATTTAAACGACAATGATCTAATAGTTTTCAAATTAATAGGTTTTCTGCATCAAAGAAAGAACAGAAAGCAGAGGTGTTCAGATCACAATCTGGAGGCTTAACTGAGGCACTGTCCACTAGAGGGAGCTGAGAACCCAGAAGAAAAGCTACCCACGGTAGACCTGAAAGATGGATCCAAAAGCTCATAAACTGGTGAGCTGTCTGTACTGCTTAATTGACCACAGTGATGGCACTCAAGCTAGCTTCAGATCCACGAGTTCAATGCAGAGTTACAGCGAAACAAACACCAAAGTGGGATGCAGCATAGGTTACATTTATATCAGCAAGTAGGTAGAACATTTAAGTTGGAACAGATTTGGTGAGCAAAACAGTGCTGAGGACCAGCACCCACATATGTTTTGAAGGTTTTACTTCAAACCAGCTCAAGTTTCGTTGTGTGGACTGAATGCTTATTAGTAGCTGGAGCATGTGCTCTAGTTTAGGAATCCTGTCAGCATGCCTGCAACGGCTCTGCAGTGCAAACTAAAGCACAGTAAGCATAAACGACCAAGACATCCACTTCAAAAGTCCATCCCTGAGGTGAGCTAAAATGCTAATATAGACACACCGGAATGCTTCTCTGGAGCCAATCTACCTTGCTGAGAGGCAGAGCTTATTAATTTGAGACTACATTAGTGCAGCCATTCTACTTCTAGCTAGTATCTGTATTCAGCACTGTACTGGACTAGGTAGACACACCAGCCCACTTAGAGACAGGTCTTTTTACCTCATTCCTTCAGACAGTGTAAGCAAGCCCACTGACAGACCTACCATATAGAGCCAGTGCTGGGTCACATCCCAAACCCCTCACTTATGCACTCAGAACTGTTATCTGGTTTGAAAATTAACGTTCCTTTCCTCTATCTTAAAATAGTTGGTGCCTTTCTGTAATCCACAGCATTAGAAATTGAAATGGTGTAATATTCATTATCACATAAGGTATAATTAGAGGCTACAGTTTCTACAGTCCCTTGGCCCAAGATGGAGCAATACAGAATACAGTAGTCATTTACTAAGTTCACATTACCTATAGTATATAAGATCTTTTTAAATAAATTATAAATTATAAGTAAGTTACAACATAATCTTATTAAATATCTTCCAAACCTGTATAACTGAATCATGAGCACTTGAAATGAGAGTCTGACAGTCAGAGGTAAATCGACAATGCTGCACAGACATCCTGTAGGCCTCCTGGGACTTCAGAACTTTCCCATCCGACAACTGTAATACCTTTACAATGAAGAACGCAATAATTACATTTATTTTACATACTTGAGGAAAAGGAAGAAAAGAACATGCAAATTCTTTTTGAAATAACACGAGATTGTAAATACATGACTCTCGGTAAATGGATTGGAACAACTAAAAATTCATATTAGCTTAGTCCTTGGTAAAATGAAATTCAGAGCTACATTATTAGCATTAGCTTTAAATTATTGTCATTTAGGCATCACTCACAAATGTAAAAACTTTAATGTACTATGTTGAAGAATATTATTGTACAAAGTCAATCAAATGACATTTCTTTAAAAAGAAAAAGCACTAATAAGGTTGTTTTCCTACTATTTTAAAAATCAAATTCAGGATTTAATACCTTTATTGTTCCACTCTCCTGTCCAAAAGCTGCAAATTTAAGATCTCCACTTAAGCAACAGCAGGAAATGGGGGATTCTTGAGCTGCTGTATGCATAACAACACTGTCTGTATTTCCATTGATAAGCTGCAAGATTGGAAGTTAACTAAGTTATTACAATATTTTAAAATTTAAACTTAAATGAGTTACAGTACAGAGCTACAAATGCTAAAGAGAACAGTGTATCAGTTTCAAACTTTGAGTTATAAGGATCAGTTACTTTCATGAACCAATTGCTTTGAAGGTCAGTGTAACTATCTTCATAGAACGCTCTCTGAACAGGACAAATTGGCAGAAGGAAACATATCTCAGTATTAGAAGGCATTTTAAAGTTTGTCTGACTACAGAAAACAGTAACTCAAAATGCTACTCCCAAATTTCAAAAGCCATATAGCGAGCTCCACGCTCAAATTTACCTTACCAGCCAGATTCTACAGCTCAATTCAAATGAAGCATAAAATACTTTAAGTGCATCCTGTAAGCATGACTTTAAACTTATTAGCACACACAATACACTAAATCTCAACTCAGTATTGCCCTCAAATCAGTTCCGGGGGCGGGGGGGGGGGAGAAAAAAAATCTTTAGAATATTAGAATACAATGATTTACAAACAAAGTTTAAGTTTAAACACTTCACACTGGTAGCTTTCTAAAAATGAACACACTGCACATCAAAAGGCGACTAGGACCCCAATTCTGAGAGATTACAAATTACCAAGGGTAAAACCTCATGGTTGCAAGAAAAACTACTTTTAGAGATATGACAGCAGAGATATACTGTTAAATTACAGTACACATGCTGAACTGTCTTTTCAGTCAATTTCCCTTCTTGCACAAGAGTGAAAAAAATCTATTCTCTGTCTACAACGGAGTCTTCTCTCATGACTGCACCTCTACAGGATATCAGAATACTGTATTTAGGGCAGAAAATCTGAGCACCATCTTTCTCTAGGAAATGGTTCAAGTAAAGTTACAATAGAAACATACTAATCATAAACAAACAGATTGGGTCTACTAATTCAAATGAGAGCCAAACTACACCATTACATAGTAGTCGCTACAGATTTTACAATTCAGGAACATTAAAAAGTAGTGATGATCCTAAACTGCTCCCCACACATAAATAGGTAGAACTCCTTTTGCTGTGGTTTCTCCCATCTCTTCACTGCAAGAGATGCAGCTTCTCTTTTCTCACATATTATTTGTTCACATAAATTTTAGTTTCAACATTGACTGCTTTCTGCTGGCTCAAAGTCTGAAATCTTTTTATTGCCAAGGCTCCATTGGAGACACTAGCTATTTCCACATCTATATTCCCCACTATTCAAATATCATCACCATTCCACTTAAGGTGTTTTTTAATATGATTTTTAGGTAAAGAGCAGGCTAATTTATTGACAGGACAGACAAAAGGAGGAGGACAGAAAACAATCAGGAAGAGAGAAACAGGAAGTACAGGGCAAACAAGAAGAAAAGTTCCTGCAAAGGAAGCTCTCATTCTAATAGCAGCCTAGGAAAAGCTGAGCATCTCTTAGGACTAGAAATAAAGGCAACGGTCATGCTGATTAGCCAGGGTTATATAGCTTACATGTTTGCCTTCGGCCAAATTAGGAGAAGGGACATGACCTTACACAAAAAGATTATCTGCACAGTGTCCCTCAGTGCAGAGCAGCAGAATCTATTCCAACGCTCACCTATACATCCAGCAATAAGAATTCATTGCTTTCACAGTCCAGAACAAAGGTTCATTCCTATTCAGATGCTGCTTTAGGCTAAACACCTGCAATAGCTACCTTATGGCCAAAGACATGGCATTGCCCATTTTGTGGGTTAACATGCAATCTGTTTGCGTAAGCAGCATTCTGCAACAAACATTAAAATGTTTCTGCTTTTAAACAGTTACAATCAGGTAGAAGTGTAATCTGAATGAACTGTATTGCCTTCACTTCAAAGAAAGTCCTCTCAACTGACTTTATTTGATGTATTAGAGAATCACGATACAAAAAAAGATGTGCATGCATTTGCTGTCATAGAATGGAAAAATATATTTTGCATGTTAGTGTACTTATTACTGTGGACCACTCCACCAAGTAGTAAGAGTGTATCCACTATTAGTATTTTCTTTAGGATATAAAAGACCCCATGCTCTCCTTAGGCTATAGGTAGACCTTGGCTCACACCTTTCATTCCCCCAATTTGAGACGATTCCTTCAGCTATCACACAGTAGCTCTGATGCATTACGTACATGTGCTGTGTAACACCTGGTTGATACGCGCTGCACACGTTACACACTGCTACGCATAGCTAAGCCACTTGGAGGGCACACAGCCTCCCCAGTCGTGAAGACAAAACAGTTTTGTTCCTCTGCATCCAGCTTTAGTTTTGGCATCTATGTGGAAATTTCCCCTCAAACTTCATTTTTTGCTTACTAAACCAGGCAGAGTTTCTAGATATAAAAACATTATCATACATTAAGAGTCATCTGCTACAGATTCAACTGTTGAAAGCCACGAACAAGCAGTTCTTTCAGTGCTTCCTCCATTTCCTATTGAGATTTGCAGATAACGTTCAAATGTACTAACATATTCAGAAATACGGCTTACTTGTAAATGCTTCTGATTGTAAATTGCTAAAATCATCACTTCACCATTGTGAAATACAACATCTAGTTCACTTTTTAGCACTGCATCAGAAGACATGCACACCTTCCTTGTTTCCCAAATCTGTTAAAGAACACAGTATTTCATTAGTTTTATTACAGAACAAGATATAAAACTTACTGAGTTAAGAGTACCTGTAAACCAAAGTCTTCTAAGCTTGCAAGTAACACTGATTTTTTAAATCAGTGAAAATTATGCTTCTGCTATTTTTATTTACTAGGGAAAGTTGTGCAATTACTATAGTGATTCCAACAGATGAAACAGAACTAATTTTTTCCAGGCTGACTAGCAGACTTCCCTGTGTTTAGGGTCATAGCTATAAAGTCCACAATTTTCTCATCCAAAGAGCAGTGTTAAAATCCAATTACAAAAAATACAAAGTACAGATTTCTATACTTTAACTGCTTTCAAAATTCCAAGAATATAAGTATTAACTTGGGAGAAAAGGAAAGGTTACTTCGGTAAACGATAGTTCTATTTTCACAGGTTTTAATGAGGCATTACAATTACAGAAATCTATCCTAAATATTAACATGCAAATATATCTAACAATGAAAGTAATATCAAATCTGCTAGGATCCTCAAAAAACTTCACAATTCCTGATTCAGATAAAATCTAAAACAAAATAGAAGGTTACAATTACTCTTGAACAGTCACTGGACTTAATAAGATCATATAAATATACAGTAAATTTAGATATACAGTAAATGAAGTGAAAAAGCCAGTTCATTTTACTGTATATATAATTTTATAAAAAATATTTAAATTTACAAACATACATAAATACTAAGTATATATTATATATAATATAAACATAATATATTATGTAATTTTATAATAACCTATTCCTTAAATGAATAACTTAATAATATCTATATAAATACACATTTTTCGAAAAAGAAAGATGTCATCTTACGCGTATTGTCTGGTCATCAGATGATGTTAGAAATAAAGATCCATCTGGTGAAAATGTCACACAGTGAACCCAGCTCATGTGTCCCCTGCAATATGCTACTTTCGATAAAGATTTAATATTCCATAACTACAACAAAAATATGAAGGAAGAACTCAAATGGATTTAGATGGCATTTACAGGGAAAACAGTGCAAAACAAGTAGCATACTTAATTACTATTTCTTCTAATATTTTCTTCTCATTCTGAAATCAGGTGTAACAAGAATTGTGCCTGCTTATCACATTTCGATGGTCAGGGAAATTGAATCAGCAGCCTCTGACTGCTATAATTTTAAAAGATGAGGGGGGAAAAAAACAAAAGAAAAAAAATCACAGTAAAAAACCAACAAGAACAACAAAAAACCACACAAAAGTTCAACTGACCATGTAGATTGCAAAAACAAAAACCACCCAAACAACAAAAAAAACCCAACCCCAAAACTGATACTTGTACAGGCTTACTCTAGCTGTGCTAGTCACAAAGTCATTCTAGCTGTTTTATTCCTTTGTAGTGAGTTGCCATATTCTGCAGCAGTGTATAGAAGGAGAGGGAGTTTTGTTTGAGTTAAGCAATGGGAAGGCCTATACTCATGAGAGTGACAACAGTAACTTTAAAGAAATTTAGTAGCCTAGTCTCTTTATGTAAATGTGAGTTGTGCTGTTCAGAACGAACGTACAACTTTGAAACGTTATTTCCCAATTGATATTTTCATTTACAAGAAACTATTAAGACAAACATAACATTTTATATTACAAATAGTCTTTCCTGGTATACTCTAGCAAAGACAATCACTTACCTCAACAGAACAGTGAGACAAAGCAACTGCTACTAACTCATCACCAGGACAAAAGTCACAGTATTGGATTGTACTGTGATGACTTACAATGACTTCAGTTAACAAATTGCATGTTTTAACATCAAAAAGCTGTGAACACATAATTACAACAGTTAGCAGCCAGTCTGTATGACTTCACTATACACAAATAGGTTATATGCTCAACAGCGTACATTCTTGAATTTAGAAAGTGTTTCTCTCAGTCAACAAGTTTGTAGCCCACATATTTTTACTTTACACACACTTGAAACCATGCACCTTCTATATGAAACATCTTAATAGCCTAGAATTTTATCTTTAATCACAATTTCTAACTAGATGATCTTTAAGGTCCCTTCCAACCCAAACCATTCTATGATTCTATACTACCTCAAGAAAATTATTAAAAGTGAGGTACTTACCAAAAGCTTATTTTTGGCAACTACCAAAATCATGTCATCGTTTCTGGACCAAGAGCAACATTTTACTAAAACATCCACATCATCCGGTGACTCATCTGCATTTTTGAAGAAATCTTTTATCTCAATACTTTTCAGTTCATTTGCTGAGCGCGCTTCCCAAAGCTGCAATAAAAAGTAAAGGAAATACACAAAACCTCTTTTTACTGATGTGGATACAGAATACAACAGGGAAGAGCTAACTCCCAACCACTTCTAAGGAAGAAGGGAGACGGGGGATAGAATACAAAAAACCCTTTGCTATTTTTCCCGGTCAAGAAATAGCATTAGAATATTCACAAGCCCAGACAGCTTAGACAAAAAACAAAACAAAACAAAACAAAACAAAACAAACCCACACACACAAAAAAAACTCCCCACAACAAAAAAAAAAACCAACCAACAAAGAAAAAAAACCCAACAAAACAAAAAAAACCAAAGAGGATTACACTGTAGCACTCTCCCTGGGTTTTTCCCTCCTATCATTCCAGCTACAATACTGTCTCTTAACAAAAGAATAAAACCAAAAATAACATCTGCTCTGCAACTCTATTAAAAGTCCGCTCACCATGAGAAATCTGGTATACATCTAACTTTGCACCCTAATTTCATTGAGACACCTGTCAAAAGTCTACTGAATATTTCTGTTCCCTCCACTACAATTTTCCTTCTGAATGACAACTACAGCAACCCTTCTTTCCTGATTTAGCAACTCTACAGAAAGATAACAGTGTTTTAAGAACTGCAGTTCTGAAATAGCATAGTTCTGTTGCAACCAAAGGCAATAAAAAGAATATTTACTTTCTGAGGAAAAACAAAACATAAACCTCTCAATTCTCTTCTAGTGCATATGTGAAAAATGGCACATAGAAATTGCTTTTAACGTTTATGTCTACTGATATTCATTTTCAGAGATGACAGAACTTTCAATTAATCTAAAAATGTTTGTTTTTTTTTTTTTTTTTAAACAAGTTTCATTCCCTCCCCCAAGTTTCTTCCCCTAAATACATTAGGGGAAAAAAAAGATGGTGAAAAGTAAAGGATTCAAAATGACGCTAGCTAGGATTTATTTACAACTACAGGCACCCAACTTTTTTTCCCTGGTACTGGACAATTCATTTCAAAATCTTGCATTAAAAATGGGACCAATAATCAACGCTTTCAGTATTTAATTAATTAAAACTGACCATGCAGACACAGAGTTTTCTTATACATATTTTCCATTTTATAAAAAAAAAAAAAAAAAAAAATCCATCATCAAAACAAACAGTTGATTCAAAAATACACTGTGTACCTTTACTGTTCCATCTGTTGAGCAGCTAGCAACATATTCATCATTTGGTGAAAATCTACAGTGACTGACGGAATTTACATGACCCATCATCGTATTTCTACAATACTTTTTGTTCAAATCCCAAAGCTGCATGAGAAATAAACATATAAATATCATCATATTCATGAATTATTCAAAGACAAATTGTTCATGTTCTTCTCAAAATCATGCACTGGCAACCAAAACCTCAATTTTTTTTTTTTTTCTTAGTTTTACCCACATGCTCATGGACTTGTTCCTGCGCCCCAGGCTACCCCACAATTTACCTCCATCTGCTAATGTGCATGAAAACTATTAACATCAGAATTACATAGAACTAGTTAGTTAAACTTTCTGTACAGTGCAGACAAGGCCCTTGAATGGCACAAAGTTACTGAAAGTTTCCTCAGACTGAGGAAGAAGCTTCCTCTTGCCTCTATTCCCTTTCAACTTTGAAGTTCAGACTTATCTGGCTTATACATGAAAATAAAAATGAAGTCCCTCAGGTTAGTCTTGGACAGTCTGAATATCATTCCTGCCACATCAATACTAACAAAGTTAAAAGAACATTCCCTATGTTTTTTTGTTAAGGGCTCCTCCTCCCCACCCCTCTCACACACACTGTTTTCCAAACCTATAGCCCACACTTCCATTCTCTGTTTCGAATTTTTTTCCCTTTCTCCTACAGAAAAAAAAAAAAATCATGCATTTGACTGTTCAAATGAGAACTCAACAAGAATAGTCACTTGTACGGTGTTCTCTGAAAAAAAATTAGGCCCTTTGGATTATTGTGCATACTTCAGTTCTGTTATTCATTACTCATGAAAGTGTCAAACACTGTCTAAAATCTTAACCACATTTACAGAATAAAAATTGTCATTTTAAACAAGTCCCTTCTAAATCTACCTGTTCCAAGGTGTCAGTCTCAGACAGCAAATGCATCTCCTGAGACATCCAGGAGGTCAGCATGAAAGCCTCTTCTTTCCACCTTGACATCAGATCGTAACTGTATTTTACCTCTGGTTTACACACAAACACAAGCTCTTGCAAGAACTCTTCAGATGAGACTTCACACTACAATTAAAACACCTCACATCCTGCTAGCTACAGCTGGAAGAGACAGTTGTCCCCCCCACTAACAATCTCACTCCTTGCTATCTACTCCCAGCAGTTCTCTTGCACTGGAACTGGACGATTCAGCCACTACAGGGAACTAAACAAGCAGAAAACCAATCCCACCAAACAGAGGGTTTTGCCAAGTTGGCTCCTTGAACCATACCACTGCAGATCAGCACATGCACTGCAACAAAGGCAAGAATATGCAGCCAGGGCAGTAGGACCATCATCTTCAGTGCCAGTTAACTACATGATTTGCTTAGTTGTACTGTGAAATTGCACTCTTATTTGCCACAGTCTAGGTCTTACTTGATTCTTCTGTTTTCCCCCTTCCCTCAGATGCAGACTTCGGTTGCCTGGTTTCTGCTCTTTCTGTGTATACATACTGCCTCCCAATCTGAACAGTGCCAGCTGGTTAACCTGACAAACCTCTTGCTTTGATTACTGTTATTTTGTTGGCTTCCACCTTCATTTCTTTACTATGTCCAATCATTTTAATAAAAAAATGTACCTGCTACACTTCCATAGTGCTTTCCCCCCCCCCCAATCTTTCCACATCCAGTTTTTTATGTTATTAATGTTTTCAACCCTAAATTTCTGCCTTCATTTTTCTTATGCTGTTTTTAATCAGGTATTTCACTCCCATATGCTCCCATTCCCATTCCACCCTCCAAAAGCTTTGCCAAAGCCCTCAACTTCATGCCCTACCAATAGAGGACTTGCCCATTCTCCTTCACTGAGCGCAAACATTCCTGGTCTGCCTTGTTGAAATCTGATTACAGAGCTGTAGTCAGTACTCTTACTCTGTTGCCATCTCTCTTCTACCAGGCTCATTAAAAAAAACTTAATTTATAGTCTTTAAATATATTTATACATCAATAATTATCCTGTTATGATAAGCAGCATGAGAATAATCTCAACCTTTTCCACTTACTTTGATGAAAGTGTCATTTGAGCAGGTGGCTAAAAGATACTGACCACTTCTGTTATTGAACTGGCAGCAATTGACCTGCTCTGTGTGTTCTTCATATACACACCTACACTGGCCTGTTCTTGAATTCCAGATCTAGATAGAATTGAAGAATGAAAAAAGACTTTTAAATGTATTTAAAGTACTTAATTTAAAAAATCTAAAACTATGTTGAAATACAGATAAAGGCCTAAAACATTCTTAATAACACCTCAAAAATGTTTTGAAGATAAAAAGGAAAGCATATTTATTTACACTTACAAGAAGTTATTAGAGGAAAGGTCATAATTCAGATTAGAATCTGATAAATACTGGAATTTCACCAAGGTTTTGCTACAATACCGAGGAATTAAAAATTCCAAATAATTTACATGTAACAGAAAAAAAAAACATAAAAAAAGAATTATGGATACATTCATCTCGTGATGGATAGGATTGGACTCACACATGTTCTACTTAAAAAGAATCATCTGATAATACAAGTAAAATAAGTGGTAATTCTTTCTGTAAGTATTATGTTAACATTAAGCACCTTTTACGTTATGTAATAAGTGGGGCTTTGCTGTTTGTTGATTGGTTAAGTAGTGAAGTATCCACATAAGATTTAAGACAGTTAAAAAAAACTTTAGTCTTTACTATGTTATAAATAAATAAATCTGCTCTGCTTGAGTTGGTTAAAAATGAAATTAGGATTATTAATTTGAAAAAAATATTGTCTGCTTCCCATTTCCTTACCTTCACTTTTTTATCAGCTGAACAAGTTGCTACAAATTCACCATCTGCAGAGAAAGCGCAACAAAGTATTTCATCATCATGGGCACTTATTTCCAGGAGTCTCTCTCCACTTTCTGCTTTAAACACCTAAAACAATAAACAATAAAATCTTGTAACTCGCATACAATTTTAAAACACAAATATAAGTCCGTTTTCTCTCAAACAGCTCTCTTTATATAAGCTCTTCATAAAAATGGTTTACTTTTGAAAGCATTTATAATTTCAGGGAAATTAACACAATAATTATAAAAATATTTGAGCTTCAATTTTGTAAGGATGATAGAAATTGTTAGGGAGAGAAATAGTGAAAACTGATTTTTAAAAAAATATTTCTGTATGCAATGTGCGTTTCATTAACGACTTTTTCTACCCTCACTCTTCAAGCCTAAATCCATGTCCTTTCTCAGTATTTTTTAATAGTACTGTAAACCACTGTATCTATTAACAAAATCTAAACTATTCTTAAAACTACCAATTCCAGGTTTATATATATGATATCCTTCTGTGGAAAGTAAGAATTTCAGCACCAATTGATGATGGGGGACAAACCAGAAAAAAGAAGTAGTGAAAAGTCATACAGGATGACAGAAGTCTCAGTCTTGAGCTAGTCATAGGCAATAAAAGCGCAGATAGGGAAAAGTGTCACATATTAATCGATTTCCCAAAATTCTGGGATTTAACTTTAAAATGGTGGGGTGATGCAGGGGGGAAATCAGGTCTCCCTTTCCTCCTTAGGTTACATATTCTTAATTATTAAAACAAATCACAAAGTGTTCTTTACAGCAGCGTTCAGGATACTACAATTGTGAAGTCCCCGTTTTTTCCTTTACTTTTTCACTGAATGGGAATATCAATGACCATGAAATGGTTGGTATTTGTTCAAATAAGAACATAAATACTGAAGTAACAGGAAATCTACATTTACAGTAAATTCTGCAGAATATCTGTTCTTAATGTAGCAATCATTATTTTTTTATTTTACAGAAACAGTAGAAGTAGCCTTGAAAACTGAAAAGCTTAGGTCATTATTAGAAAAAACATGAATAAGTTCAAAGTTAAACAATGAAAAAGGATTATTGCTAATTTTCCTATTACTTCTTCAACAAAAGTTTAGTTTAAATGCAACCGCAATCCACAGATTTTACTTTTTTTGGCCAGAAAATGAAGGGAAAAATAAGCAATCTGCAGCATCAATAATGAGGCCATTAAATACAGAAGCCCAGCACAGTAACTTCAGCACAGCATAAAACGGGTACATCCACCAGGCATGTCCTTAAGTGGATGCCATGATCGTAATATTGTAGAAGCCAGCAAATAAAATAAATAAACTAAAACACAATAACACCACATTAAGTAGCCAAATGAACAGCAACTAAGCACCACTAATATTATTACTTTAGTATTCAACTTATCAAGCACCCAAAACAATACCAAAGGCTTGCAGAAAAGTTGTTCTTTTCCCTTACCTTTGGCTGTCTGGAATATGGATACTTTACCAGGTTACTGGCTGGCTGATTGCTAGTTTTCTTGAGAGCTGGCTGGCTCCCCTCCCGGCAGACTGCTGGCAAATTTATATTAGTCACTTTCCTCTCTGTCTCCCCTAATCCATTTCCTAAGCACTTTGGGCCCGTTTCCAATCTAATACTGTCCTCAACTTCAGGGGTTCATTTTTTTCCCCGGATTTATTTCTTTTGCATCTGACAATTTACTAATTAAGCACCAAAGTAGCATAATGTCCATTATCATTCCATGGAAATAGTAAAGCTATAACTAAAACGTCTTACTGTTTCTCAGTTCTGTAAAAGGTCTACTGTGACTAGAAATAACATTTTTGCAGGCAAGTATTGAATATGCTGGGGCGCATTACTTAGGCTGTGAGCTTTTTTGTATCATTAAAAGGCGTTTCACATTCATGTATTACACTGGTAAGGGTATAAACCCTGAAATCACACAGTTTAGCTTTTGAACTAGAAGATAATGCTTACTATTCTAAACACGCAACTTGATGCTTGTGTAATAATACATCCTTATCAATCATTTGTCTCCAATATGTTCTAGATCCCTTATATCTCTACATAACAGCACAAGAAAAGCGACAGGACTGTTAACAAATGTTACCAAAATAGTACACAGCATCTCTTTTCACTCATGCATAGCTATCTTACCTGAAGTGTTTTATCAGCTCCACATGATGCTATTCTTTGTCTATCCTTAGAAAAGCAGGCATGATAAACTGCATCTCTATGTGGACGAACAACCAGACGGTAGAGGTTTTTCAAGGATTTTTTGTTTCTACAGGGTAAGACAGTTGATTTTAGATGAGCAGGATTTCCTAGTGTCTTTTTATTAGTCAAAATCCTCTATAAAAAGATAACATTTTTTTCACACACCTTGAGCAGCCAGCTTTATAACAAACCAACTGACTATACCTTACTTCTCAGCCTTTCCGCTGAAGTAATAAAGGAAACAAATTCCAACATTCACTCAGAGTTTTTATTGCACTCCAATATTACAGCTTAGAGATCAAGTAAGATAATATGTGCATGAGAAATTAACATGATGCAGTGCAACAGCTTTGCCCATAAAGTAAGACACGGACTTCCTAATGACATTTTATGATCTGATATGCACTATTTCCAAAAATGAATTTCTTCCTGAGAATTCTTGTTCTCCTGCAGGTTCCTTTTCAAGCCTACTCAAAAATACTTGTAAATTTGTTTAGATCTTAGTAAATTTACTTAATTTTCACAGCAATGACTCGATTCTTATCACTAGATACTTAAATAAAATCTATGACTATCACTGCATTTCAATCAGAGATTAAGTACAGAATCTAACACACCTTAGATTGCTCTTGCCTCACTTTAACAAAAAATTAGAATTAGTAGCAATCATAATCATCCTGTTTAGCTAGATCGTAACACAGAAAGCTGTCACTGTAATAAGATGATTTTTGGTGATGAATAGATTGTTACAAGATTAATTTTTTTCTAGAGTCAAAATGAAACAATGTACTTCAAGTTTTGATCATCACCAGTTTCAATTTTCAGGCTTAGCATTTAAATAATGGGTAAAACATCTCAAAGTAGCTGCGCTTTAGAATGAAAGCTATTTTTCACTGCAAAATACTGACTCATCTAAGACAACATATTTTTTCTTGCGTATTTTAATAAAGCTAAAATTGCTGGTCAAGAGAGCAGTGTATCCACCTACATATCCTACAAACCATTTTTAGAAACTTGCCCTAGGATGGGAGACAAAAACATACGAGTCTGTTCTGTTGATTTCAGTCATAAGTTCACCCTGTTCTTCAGCATAAGTCTCCCACATCCAAGGTGATAGCCCTGAACTACCTGGAGATTGACTCTCCCGAGTTGTGCAACTGCCGAGCATTTTTGTTAGAATTCTGTTATCTATGCAAAATGAAATAGCCAAATATTCAAAGAGAAGACCTGAATTCAAGTATGCCTGGATTAATCTGCCTGGTTATTACCATAATTACCTGACATCGAGTCATTCTGGTTTTTAACCACCAAGTACTGCAGATATCAGAACAGAAACATCAAACAGAAGAATCTAACAGAGACAGTTACATGATCAAATGGCTACTGAACTATGCTGGAAAAATGTTTTGATGTGTATATTTTTTCCTTAAAAAACTTCCAAAAACATGAAACCAGCAAACAATTATTTAAATAGGAGAAATTTCAAGATTGGGTAGAGATGACAAAGCCTTTTAGTATTTCCCATCTTGCTACTTTCAAAAACTTTGCAAGTTAACACAAATGCTCTCCTTTTTAAAGCGTACATTTTACTAGAAAACCTAAAACCATACTTTAACATACCCAATACTTGCACTACAATTCTAACTTCTTTCAAAAAAGCGCCCCAAAATCCATGTATTTAGAGAAGTTTCAAAGCATCTTACTTTCATCTTTGTATAGTGACTTAAAAGGAACAATCGTTGAGTACAGAAGTAAATGTATTCCTCTATTTATTTCTATGTAATTATTACTAATTTGTGGCCTTACATATCCAGAGTTCCCCTCCTCCCATAAGCTCTTGAAAATTGTTTCACTTTCTTTCCCCAGAAAAAACACAGCAGTTCTTAAAAAGGTCCTTATATTAGACATACACTGTATTTAGGTGTACATTAAATTATTTTCTTGGATCAAGGGATCAGCATATCAGCAGACGGACTGCAGCTACTTACATCCATTCCAAATAAAATGCTCCTTTTTCTCTTTGAGCATGTAGCTTGGCTTGTTGATACACCTCTGATGTCTCTGGTTGGCAAAGACCCAGCTGTATAATGTCAGGAAACGGTTGCCGTCCAAGAAGGTGCCCATTTAAAGACAGAAATTCCTGGAAGTTCTCACGTACTGTGCTATTCTATGTACAGAGCAGATAATATTTGATAAGATAGAAAGTGGCTTTATTTCATAAGTGCTCTTTGCTTTTTAAATTTTCTATACAGCTAATATTCTTACAGAAGCACTTAGTTCTATTTTTCTATTTAGTTCTACTAGCAAGTACATCTCGTAGACCGAAATATTTCATTATCCTATTCAGGAAAGCATATTATCCTAATTTTTCAAATAAAGGATATTGGCAACAGCAATTGACTCAATAAGCAGTCAGTGTGACATATCAGAAAGACTATTCCAAGTGGCGAACAAAATTCTGCCCCTCCTCAAAAGCAGAGTACCATATGAACCCACCATTCGCTATTGTTGTTAATTGAGTTCCATGGTCAATTACTTGGGTACACACTGAAGTTACAACTAAACTGAAAACTAAGTTTTCTTCATTTTTCTCTTCTCCAAGTTAAAGTTTAACTTGGTACTGGTTTTATGTTTCAGTTTTTTAAGGTTCCTATATCTCTCTTATATATGAATACATCCAACAAAATGCAATTAAACATGGAAAAATATATTTTGAACAGACTAATCATTTACCTTTTAGTATCATACCTTTTGATCCAGGATTGAACTATATTCTACATATTCATGAATCAGATGAGCAGGCCCTAGCAATTCCGTTTTAGCTTTAATCCAATCTAGAGAAAACATAAGATCATGGAGTTCCTACAAGAAATACAAATTTAAGTTCAGAGCACGAGTTCCACAACAGAATCTACTTAAAGGCAAAAAGAAAAGCACAGGAAATACATTAGGTATTTAATATGCTTTGGGACAATTGTCTTAGGCAATTTTCTGTTTCCTCCATCTTACTTGATCAGGTATGAAAATTCTGGGTATAGAAGGCTAAGCTTGTTGGTTTAATGCAAAGGACTACTCTGATACAGCTAGTCAAAGAAGGGATGGAGGTACAAAGCAAACCTTGACTTTCATAGCACACAAGACCTGGTTTAAGATACAACTCTGAAAAAGCTTCTTCTAGTCCAGTCTGTCAAAGATCACTCTGCTAATAGTGACCTGTTGTTCTTCCTAATAGATGTTGAATTTGAATGAAAGCAAAAAATCTGGTATAGTTGTGTTTAAGTTAAAAATGAGAAAGCTACTTAAAAGGCAATCAGAAACTGCAAACAGAATTATTAGTATAGAATACACTATTTCAGTTGGAAAGGACCTACAATGAGCACCTAGTCCAACTGCCTGACTACTTCAGGGCTGACCGAAAGCTAAAGCATGTTATTGAGGGCATTGTCCAAATGCCTCAGAACACTGGCAGGTTTGGTGTATTGACCACCTCCCTAGGAAGCCTGCCCTAGTGTCTGACCACCCTCTTGGTAAAGAAATGCTTCCTAATATCAAGTCTGAGCCTCCCCTGGCACAGCTTTGAACGATTCCCACATGTCCCATCACTGGATACCAGGGAGAAGAGTTCAGCACCTCCCTCTCCACTTCCCCTCCTCAGGAAGAGAGCAATGAGGTCACCCCTCAGTCTCCTTTTCTCCAAACTAGACAAGCCCAAAGTCCTTAGCCACTCCTCACAGGACATGCCTTCCAGCCCTTTCACCAGCTTTGTTTTCCTCCTCTGGATGCATGCAAGGACCTTCACATCCTTCTTAAACTGTGGGGCCCAGAACTGCACACAGTACTCCAGGGGAGGCCGCACCAACGCCGAGTACAGCAGGATAATCACCTCTTTTGACGGGCTGGTTACGCTGTGTTTGATGCACCCCAGGATGCGGTTTTCCCTCTGGGCTGCCAGGGCACACTGCTGACTCGTACCGAGCCTGCTGTCGGCCAGCACCCCCAGATCCCTTTCTGCAGGGCTGCTCTCCAGCCACTCCTCTCCCAGTCTATACTTGTGCCCGGTGTTACCCCGTCCCAGGCACAGAATCTGGCATTTGGACCTATTAAGTTTCATCCCATTAATCATTACCCAATGCTCCAATCTACCTAGATCCCTCTGCAAGGCCTCTTGTCCCTCAAGAGAGTCAACAGCACCTCCCAGTTTGGTATCATCAGCAAACTTGCTAATGGCACATTCAACTCCTGCATCCAGATCGTTGATAAATATATTGAACAGAACTGGACCTAGAATTGAACACCAAGGAACACAGCTGGTGGCCAGCCGCCAGCTGGATGTAGCCCCATTTGCTACAACCCTTTGAGCCCTGACATTCAGCCAGTTCTTCACCCAGTGTGCCGTGAGCCCTCTCATCCCGCAGTTGGACAACTTGTCCAGAAGGATGCTGTGAGGAACAGCATCAAAAGCCTTACTGAAGTCCAGAATAACTATATCCACCGCCTTCCCTTCATCCACTAAAGGGTGACCATAGAAGGATATCAAATTAGTTAAACAGGACTTTCCCTTTGTGAACCCATGTTGACTGTGCCTGATGACTGCATTATTCTTTAAATGCTTTTCAATAGTACCAAGTATAATCTTCTCCATAATTTTTCCAGGAACTGAGGTTAGACTAATAGGTCTGTAGTTTCCTGGGTCTTCCCTCACACCCTTTTTGCAGACTGGAATAACACTGGCTCACTTCCAGTCAGCGGGGACCTCCCCAGACTCCCAAGACCTGTGGTAGATGATTGAGAGGGGTCCTGCCATAACATCCGCTAGCTCCTTCAGTACTCTGGGATGAATCCCATCAGGCCCCATGGACTTGTGAACATTCAGCTGACACAGCTGGTCCCTTGCAATTTCAGTGTCCATAAATGGAAAGTCACTGTTCCCACACTTGTGGCCCTCTGGCTCAGGGGAACAGGGCAGCCCAAGGTCTGTCAGTGTTATTAAAGACTGAGGCAAAAAAAGCATTGAATGCCTCCACTTTTTTTCATCCCTATTAGTCAGATGGCCATCTTCAACAAGTATCAGTCCAATGTTTTCTTTAGACCTCCTCTTGCTATTAACATACTTAAAAAAGCCTTTCTTGTTAAAAAAAAACCAACATACTTGCTAAGATCAGAAAAACTGCTTAAAGACAACACTACACAGGCTCAAAGTACATTACAATTTAAAATCAGTAAATACCAGAAGGATTAAAAGATTATCATGGTTAACCAAATAAAAAGAATACCTACTGTCTTTATTAGCCTTCCAACAAATAGAAATCATGTTTAAATAATGAGAAATAAGTAATATAAAGAGTGTAAACTCTGGGAAGCATACAGTCATAATGAGACAGATTAAAGAACTCTCAGAAGCTAATTCTACAAAATGTAGAAAGGCTGATAATAAAAACATTGTTCCAGTACTTTGAAATTAAAGAGACTGAGATAATGAAATAAGTATGATCCAAAAACCCTAGATCTGTAGCCCACATTAATTATGAAGGTTCCTGTAAGATATAAGTACACAAAGTATATTTTATATGATGAGTCAGACAAACCATCTCAAAAGAGGTTCAGCTGAAAAGGTTCAAGTACATGTGAAATAAAGCAGTTAGCAACGAGGACCAAATGCTATTCAGGGCAAGAATTCTAAAGACATTCAAGTGAAACTACTGAAGTATTAATCTTGCTGCATGATTCGCGTCTTATACTAACTCAGTACCTAAAGAACAGTAGGTGGTAAAAAATGACAGCGATTTTTTAAAGGCACCAAGGCAATCCCAGGAACAAGAGGTTTGCCCATCTAACTCTTGCTAGATTTGTTTATTGCTGTTAAAATCTGGTAATACATAGAATGAACTTTTACACATAAAATCAGTATGACAGGAAAAAAAAAACTAACGACTTCTGTAGAAAAAAGTAACTAAACCATTCAAATTCTCTGAAGAAATCAATTTACTTCTATTATCATACAATAAAGCAAGCTTGGGTTTTCAAAAAAGTTTAGAGATTTCTTATCAAAGCTTCTTCAAAAGGAAAAGAAAAACACAAGCTATTATGATACAAAATAAGAAATCTTCTCAAGAACTGGTTGAAAAGACAAGACACAAAGGGTAGAAATAAAGTAGTTTTCATAACAGACATTGATTACCAGCGGAGTCCCTAAAGGACTCTATGTCGAGTGTTTACCTATCTGCACAAAAGCCTGGGAGAAGAGAGGTTCAAATGGGAAGAAGCCTGGGGGGAAAGGCAGGGGTAAGAGTGGGTCAAGAAGAGAAACACAGGACACTAGTCAGAACTCACCTTCTGCATGTTGGCACCAGCCATGTGATACGCAAGAAAGTTATACCAGTACATGCAATCCTCTTGAGATGGAACAGGCGTACTAAGTTTGTAATATTTCTTGTACTGTTTTACTATGTTTTTATGTAGCTCCTGCAATGTGAATCAAAACGCACTTTCAGTTCATACTATACCAAGATATGGACTGGTTTCAGTATTGAGGAATTATAATTATTATTAATATTATATTGTACGTAGTATTGAGGAATAATATTATTATTTCTCAATCGTTATATGTCAACAAATGAAATAAGAAAAGCTTACCTTCCAAAACTGTACACTTAACCTAATTTATTGCTTAAAACTTCTCCAGAAACATTCTCTGGATATTAAAAGACAGAAAAGCAAGCTGTTAAACTTCCTTCTTAAGTTGAGAACAACTATCAAATCACTGTTCACATTAAATGTGGACAGCCAACAAAAAAAGACCCTTACATATTTAGATCTAAAGCAAGTCTAAAAACTTGCTTTTTCTTCATATCTACTCTTTCTGCCCAGTCCTTCAGAACTGATAGACTTATTGGGCCCAACTTATAGGTCTTCTCCCTGCAAGTATTGCCTTAAATTGAAGAAAAAAAAAAGGAATAGAAAGCACTTCTCTGTATTAAAGAAGAAACTTCTGTTCTGGTAGGGTCTTGATGCCTTTGGAATCATCAGTGGAACATTCCACCTCCTGCTGTCTTTGAGAAATAATGGATATAGAGTCTTCTCTCAGTTTAGTTTCTTAGCTCCAAATGGAACCATCATGAAATCACTCCACAGTTTCAAGTTGAAAATAAATGTTTTTAATTAGTCAACCTTAAATTTAACTGCATTGTGGACCTATTCTATGAAGCCATTCTGGATACTATTTAACAGAGGAGTATTTTCTGAAGAATGCCCAGCTCTGGAGAGTAAAGTTAAAAGTAGATTAGTCAATACCCTACCTGAAGCTGGTTGTGATTCTTCTCTGTAAGAAAGTCAAGTTGAAGATCATGTAAATAATAATGGAATGACTTCCCATTACGATCACAGAACAATAGCGATTTGTTAACAAATTCCTGTAGTATATCTTCAACTTCTTCAGTTTCCATATCCCAAAGAATACAGAGAACCTAAAAAAGCACACATTAAGACAGAAAAGAATCAGAACTGTACATATTGTATGAATATCATAAAAGGCTACCAATTAACTGACAACAAAACACATGCTAACAAATACAGACATATTACAAATGGTAATAAATTCAGTAAGTTACCAATTCTTCCCTACCAAACTATAGGACAGATAATACAAGTTATCCCATCTTTTCTTTATTTGTGCTGATTTATGGTGATCATACCTTTTTCTTAAAGGAAACAAATTTCACATGACAGTTTTTAAGCCTTCAGAGAGCTCAATTACTATCTAATTAAAGAACTATATACGGAATGCACATTAAACTAACATTATGAATACCTTTATTCAGTTACAATTTTTAAAAAGTTTCACTACAATAAAAGTCATGTTACAATAATGGACCTGACCTACCCAATCTAGCAATTACCACTAAGTTACATACAACATAAGTTACACACAAAAATTATAAATTTTATGAATTCTTTAAAGTTATTGCTTGTATCTCACTAAAAACAATGACATTTCTGCATTGCTGTTATTACCTTAGTAGGTACTTTAACATCTTTTGGGAGGATAGAGAGGTCTTTATAGTAGTCTTTATAATTGTCGTTCAGTTGCTCAACACTTATGGACATTGCTTCATCAAGGGCTTCATAATCATAAGATGACGACTTTCTTATTCTTTTAAACTGCTTATTCTGCAGCTGTTTGAGATAGTATTCCCAACGACTAGGGAAGTCTCGTAACAATGCACCTATCAAGGATATCACAAGAGGAGAACCTGCAGGAAAAGATTAAATTAATCTTAGAGGTTTTCAAGAAACACGATCCAATAGTTTAGTCAAGCAGTTGAATAAATCAGGTAAATTTCCTAATACATTGATTAAATTCTTGAGGTGTGGAGAACAGACAAACAAAGCATGTCATCCACGTAGACATCTGCAAACTCACCAAATATAAGTCTAACAGGGAGGTGGGAGGAAGATACACTGAAGAAAACTACTTAAAAATCAACATGAGACACTTCTATTTAGTTTAAAAAAACAAAAAGCATTTGACAAACACTTGTGTTTTACTTAAGGCATACAGTATTGAAGAATGTTCTCTCCTCTTTCTAGGTCAAAACCTAGAAGAAAAAAAAATACGTTAGGTGGTAAATGGTACGTTAAAGATTGGCAAGTATACCTTTGCATTCCCTTACAAGGCAGTTAGCTTGTTCTGGCAGTTCTGATATTTTCATATTCACAAATAGGGATAAAATCTCCAGTCCTTTCTCATGTGCTAGTCCACTTTCAACATGAACCTCATATTTATTGCCTAGACATAGAAACATGGAAAAAATTTTAAAAAATGTGAAAAATCCTGTAGAAATTGAGAGTATTTTCCAAGTAAAATCTGGAACAAAGGACCTGGCTCATTATTTTATGCATAGTATTTTATATGCTTAGTACTAAGAAGAGTATAAATTCTACTTATCAGAATCAAGTTTGCACTAGAGAGACAAAAAAAATTAGACAATAATCTAATAATTAAAAATGCATTATGGGCATGTCATAGCAGTGACTGCTTAATAGCATAGAGATAATCAGTCTAACAGCAGCAGTGTCACACACATTAATTTATCCTGTTAAGAATCATTCCACTCTTCAATTTAGACATATAACTTTCAGAATAACATATAACATTACTTCAGGAAGAGCATAAAGTCTTACAGAGCACAATTCTAAAACTTTGTCACTTGTGTACAAGTTAATAGACATAGATTCTATCAGATTCTTTTAAAAGTTCACAGGAACAAATTGCATACGTATACACACAATCTGTGGTGCAAGAGAGGAAACTGTTCCTTACCAGCCACAGCATCTGTTACACTCCTGTCCCTGCTGGTGATAAGAACCTGACATTGATTATCAAATGCTTTTAATACCCAGGAATCCCAAATGTCATCCAGGATCAAAAGAGATCTAGTGCAAGAAGAAATATTGCAGATTTCAGATCAGCTATTAGTGCTAAAATACAGTATTTAATTTTAATAATGAAAGAATGTTTTCAGAATTTAAAATGTATCACTGCATAATTTTTTTATATTAACATGTAAAATATCTTAAGAGGGCATTAAACACTGTGCAAGAAAGCTGAATGCAAGTATCTCAAAAAAATAAGTTTTTACCATTTATTGCTTTATAGCTACAATTGAATTGTAAACAATAAAGTTTTAAGAAGTATTTCCATTAGTAGGTGCCAGGAAAAACAGAAATATTTACTCTGTTTTTCATGTCATCAGATACCATAAAGGAAGAAAAAGTTGCATAGGACTAGATAATAACTCTGCTTGACACAGGCTAGTGACAAGCTTTGTGGGAGAAACCATTTAAGTTTCCTTTTGACTCGAGAGTTTTCAGTTCTGTTTTTGTATCTTTGGAAAGCTATATGAGATTAATCCTCTTGCGAAGGAATTGTCTTGGATGATGAGGCTCTTTTTACATAAACAGCATTTTATAATGACTACGTATTCAAATCCTATGGCTAGTCATGTTTGTAGGTTACTACATGGAATCTCACCAGAATAATGCATAGTAGACTTCCCTACCCCTGCCTATATCTGACAAAGAAGTTACTGAAAACTGTTTTTAAAAGGTTGGTTCCAAGGGAGCAAGAAGTCAAAAAGATTGGCTGGCAAGTAGATTTATGAAAAGAAATACCAGTTGTCTGCATTCTGTGTGTTTTGTGGAAGAAAGAAAGTTATTGAAATCCAATCCTGTAAATTGTTTACATTTACTGTCTTTTTTTTAAAAAATATAAAAAAAAAAAAGAAAAAGGGATGGACTTTTCAGCTACACTAATCAATGGTTAAATTGCCCAATTCCCACTGAAGCCTGCCAAGACTTTCACATTTTTCTTCAGCTAAATAATGCTTATTCCATCAATGCCTACAAATAAGGACTTTATCCTTCATAAACAAGTGCATACACATTATATGCAACTTTGAAAATGTGGTATAAGTATTGGATACCTATATTTCATTTTTATCCAATTCCTCTATTAACACCCTTTTGATAAATCAGAGGTTTTACAAGAATACTATCATAGCCATAAATTACTGATTTTGTGGTACTTTCACACTTGAAAATATGTTGGGGACCATGAATTACAGCCTGATTTTATGTTTTTAATTAGTCTGAGAACTTCAAAGTCCTCCCAGTCTTTTGGTACCAGTGACTTTCTTCCTCAACCACACTAACAAATATTAAATCCTAATTAGGATTATTAAAAAAAACAAAAACAAAAAAAACCCAAAAAACCAAATAAACCCCCCAAAAAAACAAAACAAAAACCCCAAAACACTGTGATAACAATCACAGGAGATTTAAATCTGAAATTTCTTAGTTTAAAGAATATCATAGCTTCAATTTCTTCAACCATAATCCAACAAAATACATAATGCTATTGTGCTCTGAAAGTTTTCATTTGACTAATCATTTAATCCCAAGAAATTCACAATTTGAATCTTTTGACTAATACTTTATTCCCAAGAAATGTACTGGGTTGACTATTTGAATCCGGAAACAGCTGAAATGACTTTTTGTTACCAAAGAGAACTCCAGTGCAGAGCAAGTTCCACAAGCTGCAGAACTCCTGAAGCTTGGTTTCCAATACACTTGCACCATATGAACCTCACTCTCCAGTACGTTCCCCTCTACCTCCTCCCATGCCAGTTATGATTTCCCAGACAACCCATCATCAGCAAGACTTTCAGTTTGTTCTTACAACATTCTCACATATACCTAACTGGGCAGGATGCAGCACAGGCTGTAGCTTGTTCCCAGCTCACGTATCCAAGCTGTCCAATTAGCAAGACAACAAAATATGTTTCCCTTCAATTCATTCTGTATACTCCTTTTTGCCACTGAAGGCACCTACTTGGATTTCTCTTCTTTATCCAACTGTCAATTTTCTTAAACTTAGAGAACTTTCAAAGATACAAAGTTCCTACCTTTAGAGTCACTTTTGGCAATATGCTCAAACTGTCTAGGATAGAGGAGGAGGAGGGAAAGGATAAACAGGACTAAGATGAACAGTGTGATCACATTAACATGGTTTCAAAATTACAAAAAGCAGTCAGACTAGGAAAGTTTTATAATCAATTCTTGTCCCTTTTCCTTGAGGTGCAGCCATTCTCTGCAATACTCCTATCTAACATCTGTTACTTTATCTTGAAACAGATTAATGAACATTGCCAGGTCAACAGCATCCTACATGAGATATCTGGCAGTCTATAAGGAAGACACTGCCACGGCTGGCATTGAAATGCCCTCAAATAAAACCAAGTCCTTAATTGTTTCCAAAGCTGGCGTTTTCTCTTTTCCCCTTAGTTTCCTCAGCATACAGGTGCTCTTTTGACAAAACACAGTAAGTATCCCTCAAATGATTCACTTTGTGCACTACAAACAATATAGCATAGCACAGTATATTAACCATGTTAGGTTGTCATGATAGTTGGCTATACAGTAGCTGCCAACTTCTGGAACAGTTCATGATGCCATAGGGATACATCTTACCAGAAAATAGCACACAGTTCTCCCTTCTACTTAGAAGAGACTGTAAGGTTATGCATGAATTAAACACCCAAATTCTTCTGTATTGAAGAGTTTTGTTTTGTTTGTTAATGAACAAAAAATAATAAGAATTGCGTCAATGGAGACAACCACTTAACATACTTCAGGGAAACCTGCACTTTCAGTTTTCAACTATCCCTCAAAGATGAAAAAAACCCATGCAGTGACTGAGACACTGGTTGATTAAATCAAGTCACTTTTCCTGAAGTCTGAAAGCAATTGGCTTCTTGGCAATAATTGATCATATCACAAAAACTTGCTTTTGCTTTGATAACTTGAGACCAAACACTTTAAAAAGGCATAAGCTGTTCTGGAAAGGAAAAATTTTCTGCAGTGATACACATCCTTTTACTGCTGTATGATCCTCGCATCAGTGAAGCGTTCTATGTACACAATGAGAACATTGAAAGTTAGAGCAATTCTTACTTCCAGCTGTTCACTTCCAACCTTCATTATTCAGTGACTAATAACTTTTCAAGCGAATGTGACACCTGCACAGCTGGTTAAACGTATTTTGTTAGCAGTAGCCTTATTAGCCTACTAAATATATTCATATCCAGGACAAGCCTACAACGTGTCCCTTAAGTTACTCCATTTAAAAAAAAAAAAAAAAATCTAAACAGGGACAGAGTTATACTATGTATATTATACACCTACCTCTAGCAACTATTTACCCTTCAGCTTTTGTACACTTACCTGAACTTATTTATTCTTTTATCATATGCAAGTCAGTAATTTAGAAAATTTTAACAGGAACCCCCACACAAGAATTAAAATTCTAGAAGTATTTTTAGCTTCACCTTGAATAACACTTCCTAATTATCTACAGTAAAACAGAAAAAAGGGAAGTAAAAAGTGGAAGAGTTAGGAAGTTGTTTTTTAAACAAACAAACAAACAAAAAAAAAACCCCCACACCACAGAGACATGTAACCACAACACAGACAGCTTAGACAATTAAAACTTTGCAGAGTATCTTTGGTCTGTCAGTTAAAAGAACAGCATTTAATTTACTGACATCACCTGGGATATTTGCGTAGCATCAGCAAACGAAGACGATCTTTAGCCTCCTCAATGTTAAGTGGTGGCCTTTGTGAAAGAGTAGAGTCATGTTCTAATCTACTACAGAGATTCTGAAGTTTTATTAGGAGCCCTGCTTTGTCCTGTTTTCCAACAGAGATCCAGTGAACTCCTCCTGGAAAGTAATCTAACAAGAAAAGCAATATCAATTATGCTATACATTTAAAATCAGAAATATTTAATAGCCGCTTACAATAGCAATCAATAACTCAATTTCAATTAAAATATAAAACTGTAAAGTCAATCTTGCAACTCTACCATTAACACAGAAGGATGGTTCTACAAGACCACTATTTTTCATTTTTAAAGGAACAGGCTCTGTACGGCAAGTTCCCACAGAAAATTCACACTGCCACTGATGCTGTCATCCCTCCCCTCTACATGCCTTCCTGCTTGTCCCTCAATAACCCCTTCTGCATCCATTTTCCTGCTAGCCTGACTTAACATTTACTTTTTTTCACCATGTACTACTGCAGGAGTTCAGAGTCTGGGATGTGAAAATTATCCCAAAACAGTGAACAAGAAGGCATCTAGAAGAGTCAGCTGCAGCAGAGGATGCTGTAGTTTCTATCCCTACATCATGTTTTCCAATGCCCGAGTCCCACTTTTGCCTCCAAGTGCCCTATGCGGGGGGATGGAGGGAAAATCATTAAATGGTTTAATTTATGATCTGCTTTAAGCTAAAGTGATACTAGTGTAATCACTCCACAAATGCCTGCGATTAAAATATATGCAAAAGTTAGAGCAAGATTTTTTAAACACACATAGCGAAGGGAGGAGTCTAAGGACTTAACAAGAAATGCCCAAAAGAAATATAAACTAAATATGATTATTTTGCACTAACAGAAATAACAATTTCAAGTTAATTTAGGATGTATCTACTCTCATAAACCAAAGCAGATTCCAAGGTGAAAAGCTATTGAGAATCTTTTTCCATACATTAGTAAAATATTTAGTGGCACTACAGCACTAAGTGGTTATGAAAGCTATGAGTTGCAAGCCAATATTTCAGAAGCACCTAAGGAATTTAGAAACCTATATCCTAAATTACTTTCAAGATGACGTAAGACATATATCCATATATGTTCAATATGCCTGTATCTGTAGCAATTTTTCTAAAAATACAGACGTCTTTCTAAAAGTACCTTCCAAGAGCTGATGATCCCTTAAAGCTTCTGCTGTTAAAACAGTCTTCCCACAACCTGCCATTCCATAAACTGTGACCCAGCCTGGATCACTTCCCAAGCAGCACAGTTTCTGTTTAATAGCATCTACCAGTTTTGGCCGAGTGACAAACACAACCGGTCTCTGTGGTACACCTCCTTCGCAGAGAATCATCTTAACTAAAGTTAAAAACAAGAAACACAAAAATAAAAAGTAATTTGTAAATGTGATGTCTCTTCAAACCAAACAACTCCCCACACCAAATAACTAGTGGGCTCCCCCACCAGACTTGTGTCCCATACAAAGGCTCTAAAAACTACTGGACTCACAACACCGAAAAAATACTACTTTTCGGAAATAAATTACTTAACAGGTAACTAGCTTCCCACCTAAAATAGCGTCCCAATTAATGACTACATTTTCTGCCAGCTAGTTACATCAGTCCCTAGAAGTGAAAAGATAATTAGCAGCTCCAGTAGAAACTGTGGCAAAGAAACACAGGAGCTCAACATTATGATACCCAACTGTCAAGTCACTTTCTCAGCCATAAGTTACTGCCCCAGTGGATGCAGCAGAAAAGAAAGCATGCTGTGTAAGGCTTTTACTTTGTAGTTAACAGCACAGCATTGTGGTCCAAGCAAGACTTCCTTTGATTTCAGCTAAGATAGCATGACTTGCAATAGAGCAGGTAAAGCATAGCAGGAAAGAAAATGTGCACTTCATCTGTTCACTGCTGGCCACAAAGCGGCCATATGCAGTGCCATATTATACTGGTAAGCTTTGGGAAATCTTACTCAAGTAAGCAAAATTCCCCATGTCTACGACACTTCTTAAAGTGTAGAGTGACAGTAAATATGGCATTTAGTCATATGCAGTTAGAAGGTTCTTCCCATTAGAAACTACCAATTTATTTCATGTCAATTAAAGATGACACTGATGACAATGTAGGTAAAGGTTAGGAACTTACACAGGGTAACTAAAAGATCTGGTGGAGAGACTTAAGCAACCTAATAACTAGATCAGCTATTGAAATATAGACCGAGAGATTACAGATTACTCTTCAAGAGAAATGTCAGAATTTTGGAGGCTACAACTTTTTATGTTAGATTCAACTTCTTTAATATATACAAATAAGAGTCATTCTTTCACATACAACAAAAATGTTACAATTTAGAGAAATCTCTGAGAACTTCACATTTCCTGTCTTTTAAAATAAACATTACTAAATATAAACATTTCCAAGATGACCTATGAAAGTCATAATTGTTGTAACTCTCCTGCCATATTAAATACATGAAATACAGAAATACTGACTACTACACTACCAAAACAAGTGAATGCACCAACTACTCCTTTTTCATTGGAACAGGTATTATAGATAGTCACTTAGTAAGGAATAAAAATTACAACTCGTCTTTACTTTCAAGCACAGGGCTGCTGTAGTTATACTGACCATATGAAGTCATTCCATCCATTGAACTCTTTCTGTTACCCGAGGAGATGGCAGGGATGCCGTCCTGAAGAAGCGCAGCAAGATCTCTGTACCCTTCATGAAGTAGTGCATTATAAAAAGATCTATATGAATTATTATCTTTTGTAAGAATAATGTTTATTAGCATAGCTGCTCGTTCCTTCTGTGTATTCTAGAAAAAACATCAAAAGAGATGTTATAAAAAACTTAAGGGACCTTAGGAATCATCTAATCTATCACTCTGTCAATTACAGACTGTGTTTATAGCCTTCAACTGTGAAAGAGCCTTCAACTTGACCACACCCTTATCTGGACCTTACCAAGTGTGATAAGAACTGCATGCTAGGCATATGCAAAAGAATCTGCTGAATCCAGGAATGAGATAGACAGAAAGTATTATTTTTTAAAAGAACGATAAAACACGTGAGCAGACTAGGAAAATAAAAACCAGCGAGAGACAATTCTACCTGTTGTTTCACTTTCTCCTCCTCCTGTAATGTCAGTACTTCGTCAGAAATCATACGATCCATAATATAAGAGGTCTTGATGTCTTTTTCCAATGCTTGGCGATTCATAAGTAAATAATTCCTACTCTTCACATCCATATTTCTTCAGCATTTAAAATAAAAGTCAAGGCAGAATCAGAACATAACTTACAACGAAAAGAGTTTTAAAATAGCTTATGAATTTTGGTTTTAAAGTCAGAAAAAGTAGCAGGGCAGCTGAATTAGTGGACAACAGTGAAGTTTCAGGCAAGCTCATATACAAACTACAGAAAGCAAAAAAATTTAATTGTTTTTTTTACTTTCTGTCTTTATAAAGAGACTTTCATACTATTGCTATATGAATTTACTTACACTGTTTATGACCCACTAGTCCAACTTGGCTGGACAGTACAGTATCATCACGAAAACACGGGGACAATCTAATATCATTCATTTTCAACAGAGTAAAAAAAGGCATATTAATAGTTAAATTGTAATAGTTCACAAGCTACTGTGAATGTGAATAGTATTCTTGAAATATTATTTAGATGCCATATGCTATTATGTTTAATAAAAACTTGGAGGCATATAAAGCATGTATAAAAAGAATTTAAATCTTTAACAACTAATTAGACTCATAGTAAAACTCTTGTGCTCACTACATGAATGGAAGTTCTCATTAAAAAAGCAGATATGTACCGCTAATTTATGGAGGGAAAAAAAAAAAAATCTGAGTACTTTTCCACATTTCTATGAATTTATGCTCATGAACACTTGCAGAACTAAAGAATCACAGTCTGTGCAAGCTTCTCCTATACTAGGAACTTGCTAAATGTCTCTATGAAAAGTCTTCTCCCCTCCCACTACATCCCTCAAATTTTTGAAATCCTAGGATCATGTGATTGGGACAACAGGACGAGAAAGAGGATCGGTCTTTCGGCCGACGGCGCTGGACAGAATAACAACAGAAAATAAACTCCCCATGTGCCAGATCCTACGAGATAAACTCAATTTTGCCTCCAACTCCAGGACTCCGCACAAGTACACTCGGATCTCTACACACGACGGAAGATGGAGCACCCAACACAGCCAATGCCTGAGCTATACCTTCCTTCGTCAGCATCTGATAGACAACTATAAATCTGCATTCTTCCTCCGCATCACAGAAAAAAAAATTTGCCTGAAGACGACATAAGGTGAAAACTATTCTCTCCCATGTAAAGGTTTTTCAGTACTGATCAGCTGCCCCTGGGAGCCCCGAAGTATCAAAACGACCTCTGCGATCACGCTCCTGCGCAAGGACCGAAGGCTCCGCGGGCAACGGCGAGCTCCTCCACAGAGCCGCTCTGCAGGAGCGCTCGCCTGTTCCTCCACCCCCTCCTTCAGAGGCTGGGTCGATGCACAACAGCTGCCTTTGGATAAGCCCGCGGTGGAGCGCCTCTTCTGCCGTACTGACAGAATTTCCTATTTTCCCTGAAAAGTACGTGGTTAGGAAAGTCTTCCACCCTACCTTCACCCCACCGCACCGCTTAGGAAGGGGACGTGAAAGCTCTCCACTACTCCCAGTCGAAAAACGTCCGCGTTAAAAATAATAATAACGTATAGGTAAAGCAACTTCAAAAAGAAAACACGCCACAAACACAAGCCACCAACACACAAAACAAAGGGCCACCTCACCCCCAGCCACGCCTCACCGGAGCCGCCGTTACCAGCCGCGGGGAGAACGAAAGAGAAACCGGAGCGCTCAGAGCAGCCGCCCGCCGCCCACCCCCACCCCGCCG